TTTGTTTTAATAGATAATAGAAAAAATATTATCATGAATTCTATTAAAAAACTTAAATAATTAACATTAACATAGTAGTTTTAATTCAAATAGTAAAATAACATAGTTGAAAATTGTTTCAAATAAAAAAAAATAGAATTATAACAATTATACTTTTGGAAAAAAATGTCAAAAACATAGTTTTATTTGAAATTTTTGGAAAATATATCAGTTAAAACCGTATATTTGATCATTTAGTTATCATATATAAAATATATTTTTTCATTTAAAAATACGTATAGCATAAATACGGTACGACCAGACACTGTATAGCGCCTGGACGCCGTATATACGGATGTGTAAATCATATTTTAGAACACTGCCTAAAATATTGGGAATTGGTTGTTTACCTTTTTTTTTTTAAAAAATTTTCATTAAATTCTTATCAAATGACATTGACAATAATTACTACGTAATATTGAATAGCACAAACATTTAATAGAATTGGAAAATTATTAAATTGAATAACACTAAAATTTAAAAGAATTACTAAAGTGTTTTATTGAATAACACTAACATTTAATGAAATTGGAAAATTATTAAATTGAATAACAGTAGAATTTAAAAGAATTACTAAAGTGTTTTATTGAATAACACTGCAATTTAAAAAAAAAAAACTTAAATTCATTCCACTGGTTCATTCCTATGTCTCGGGTTCGAAGCTTTTCTGCTTTTTTAAAAAAAATTCTGAAACTAATTTTATTTCCTGGTAAAAAATCGCCGACGACGACTCCACTGGTCTGTCCTTCTCCTCCGATCGTTAGTTGTTTTTCTTTCCTCTAATTTCGGTCTGATGTTGCTGATTTGAGAAATGTTACAATTTTTGTTTCAGGAAAAAAATGGGTCCAACAAAAGCTTGCTTTTTTATACTATAATCAAAGGCAAATGACTCTCCCCAGATTTGTCGGAAAAAGTCATCAATGTCCAAAAAGACCCATTTTCTCCACAGTAAGAGTCTTAAACAAGAAAGGTTAGTAGTACTTGATTAGCGGTGGAGTCCCAATATTAATATAAAAATTATACGTTTGATTGATTTCTTCGATTCCTGAGCTGTTTTCTCACCTTGAAAATTGATGGCTTTTGAGTATATTATTATTGAAAATCATGTAGGTCACGACGATGAGCTGCTTCTGATGTGAGAGACCTTTGTTTTTATTCGTTTACCAACAA